TAACTGATCCGACGTGCAACATTTGGATAATAACTGTGACATTCCTCTATTTATTGAACAATTTAGTTCATGCCACATTAACTGAAAAACCTACCAGTACAAAAGAATTCTCCTATTACCATATTAGTACAAAAATGCGCAATCTTAAAATTTTAAAAAATTCAACCTCAGCGTTGCGACCGCACGCTCCAAAAAAAAAATTCTTACAATGAACAATAACACATTTCTTAAAACATTTTTTGGATTACATCTATTTTTTCGTTGTTCTGTCATTACTGGGTAGTAAAAACAAAAACAAATCTATTTCCATACCTGAAGATGTCTGTAGGAACAGACGAAAGCTTGTAAAAAAATTTAAAAAAGACCTTATGCAATTGGAATTTATAAACAGGGATCATAACATTCATGTACAGGTTCGGGGTTAGTGTACTTTATTAAAATTGTTTGCGAAGATGTATTCTCGCCATTTAAATCATTAACTTCTATATCTGTTTTTTGTATGAATGATTCATGTATATATATATATATATATATATATATATATATATATATATATATATATATATATATATATGTATATATATATATATATAGAGAGAGAGAGAGATCTCATGGTAGATTATGCAATGTATAATGAAAATTGATATTTGACAATTCCAATAATCTTTGCAATCTAAAATTACTACTAATAAAAATATTCTGATGTTATTCGACCAGTGCGAAATTCTTCAGATACATCAGTTCACAGTCTTACCATAACGTTGTAAGTGAGTGGTCAGTTTGGGGTAGAAAAATAGTTGATTGATATCTTTGCTGTTAATTCACGCCAAAATATTAATTCTCACCGAAATAAAAAGAATTTATCTTTACTAAAATTCACACTAAATTCTTCCATTGCACTCCGGTTGGATTGACCTTTGCGATCGTCCCAAATGTGGGCGACCCGGCTTGCACTATTTCTAAGTGTGGGGTCTACGTTCACGCTTACCCCGATAAACAAGCCAAAAACTATTTTTTTTTTTTAAATTGTAAAAAATCCCTTGTAACTTTCTCGAAAATCATCCGCACTTAATAACTCACTGAATTTTGGTAATTTTCCATTCTGAGGCTTGGTGTTGTTTCGAGGCAGTCTAGACAAATTTTTATTTAAAATGTATAATTTCAAAAGACAGGATTTAAAATTTATAATTTCTTGGTGTGAATTAATATTTTCAATAAGTAACTTTACATTATTTGGGATTAATTAATAAATAAGATCCGTTGGTTGTTACAGTAACGTCGACACAACGTTACTTAAGCGGCAACCAAAATACAACCTATTTGTAACGAACGTTGCGTGTTAGCTGGGCGAGAAGCCGTGTTATCGGCCGGTGTAGATATTTTCAAATGATCCCTCTTGGCAATATACACAGTCATTCCCCCTGAGCAGCCCAGCTCTCGAAGAGCCACAAATCCAAACCGCTCTCTAACTAAACAAAACAAAGACTCGTCTGCATCTCTGTTTAATGACTTTTAAACTCTAAAACACACTGAACCTTATCGCAGCCTGATTCACCCTTCTAAAGCGTAGACACAAAGCTCTGTTATTCTTGCTATTAGGTCACAAGATGGCCGAAGACTGAAATTTTTATCTGCTGCACATTAGCACGCACATACTTGTACACGGGTTAGGATAGGTATATAATTAGTCATTAAATTCTTTCTAACTGTGTGGATGGTTATTTCGGGAAGTGAACAGTCGATTTTAAAATTTGGGTGACTGCTTCGAAAAAAAAATAGAAAAAAGGCTACTTATCGAGAATTACTACACATCCTGGTCTGAGAAATAAGACTTGAGGCAAGCATCGACAGTTTATCTTGACGGGAAAGGAAACACTTGTAAGTTTAAAGAAACAATGATTTGAATTTTTTTTATGTTTAATTTTGTGCGTTTTTTACACACTTGTACAGACGCGGACAGTTCGTGTTTATTTTTATACTTGCATGCATAGATTCTTGACACAACACGGACGAACACACCAGCCGTGTATACTTTCGTAACGAAGATGTTTTAATAGTGTCAAAACTAAGGATGCTGGATGTTAAGTGACGCTAAACTTCATTTACAGGCTGTATGTAAATAAGTTGAAACAGATTCTGTCGGAGATGACATTAACTAGTTGTAGGTTTTAGCTGTGAATTATTTAAACTTCGATACTTCTAATATTACCCTTGACTTACATAGTTCTTAAATTAGTTAAACTAACAAGCTAACTAAATAAGTTTAACTAATAAATACCCAATTGCAAGCAAGTTCGTGCACACGCATATTCTTTTTCTTTCTCGCTCTCGCTCTCTCTCTCTCTCTCTCTCTCTATATATATATATATATATATATATATATATATATATAAGGAAGAGGAAAAATTATACCTATGTGTGTGTGTTTTTGTATCTTCTACCGACATACTTCATCTGAGAATATTTACACACACACACACACACACACATATATATATATATATATGGAATAATGGCGGGGAATAATGTACGTGCTAAGTAACTATCTAAGGAATAATAATAATAATAATATCCTTAAAGAGTTATTCTCACAGGTACATCACACACCTTACGAGGGGCTTTATCTATGTAAAATGTGTTTGATCCTTTGTGGTTTTATTTTATTATATTTTTTTTTCGCAAAAATTTTCGGTTGAAAATGCCATGGTTCCATTTCTGACCTTAGGTCTCTGTTTAGTGCTCGAATGGAAATGAATATATAACAGAGATCAAACGAAATAATAATAATAATAATAATAATAATAATAATTGCTAACTAGGTATTATCAAGCACATATACTAAAATATTGTGTCAGCCCAAAATTGATCATCTTGTATCAGGTTGTACGGTGTTGGCACCCACTGAATATAAAACCCAGCATAGACAGAGTGGGCCAATATCTGCACTGGAAAATCTGCAACTTCTACGGGAAGGAAACTGAAAGAAACTGGTATGAACACCACCCATACCCGGTTACGGAGATAGGACCTGTTACAATTCTACACAATACACACTGACAGAAAATCAAAACCAACCGCCCAGACATTGTTATTAAAGACCGCAAACAAAAAAAGTGTCTCCTTATTGATATGGCAGTCCCTGCTGACTGCAGTGTATTTTTGAAGATCTTCAAAAAGCTGTCAAAATACAAGGACCTTGAAATAGAAATCTCGAAAATGTGGCACATGGGAACATCAACAATCCCTGTTATAGTTGGAGCCCTAGGATTAGTTGGAAAAGATTCCAGTAAACTAATTGAAGGGATTCCTGGAAGTCCATGCCTCAAGGAAATACAAAAAATTGTTCTGACAATTACAGCCCACACTTTACGAAAGGCTTTATCTATGTAATTTTTTTTTTTTTTTTTTTTTTTTTTGTCAGTGGAATGTGTCATGATGCCATTTCTAACCTTAGGTCTCTGGGCGAGACCCGGAAAGAAATGAGTAAACGCCAGAAATCAAAAGAAATAATAATAAAAGCAGAATGTGCTTCCATATTGACATGCAGCCTGTAATGAATCTTTGAAGATTTTCAAAAAACTATCAAAATACCAGGATCTTGAAATAGAAATCTCAAAAATGTGGTGCATGAAGACATCAACACTTCCAGCTGTAGTTGAAACCCTCGGTTTCATTGTAAATGGTCCGAAAGACTTCTTGAAGGGAACCCTGGCTGCCGAAGCCTTAAAGAAATACAAAACAATTTACTCACAAATACAGGGAACACCTTTCTCTATGTAAATTGTGTGTGATCTTATGTACTTTTTAATGTTTTGTTTTTTTTTTTTTTTTTCAAGAAAAATATCAGAGGAAAATGTCATGAAGCCATTTCTAACCTTAGATCTCTGGGTGGGATCCGGAACGAAATGTGAACACACCACAAATCAAAGGAAATAAAATAATAATAAATGGCCAATATAAAATCATAGAAAAGAGTAATCAGGAGATATCTGAAGAGAAATTATCCAAAAGAAATTGGATTATTATCTTACTCATTATAAAACGCATTGTGTGTGTGTGTGTGTGTGTGTGTGTGTGTGTGTGTGTGTGTGTGTGTGTGTGTGTACGTTTATATATTGGATCGGATTTCCTACATTTTTCAACCGATTTCAACAAAACTTCACAGGACTACGTAAAATTACCTTGCGGTGGTTGGTTGGTTGTTTGTTTGTTTGTGTGTGTGTGTGTTTGTGTGTGTGTGTGTGTTCGTTTATATATGGGATCGGATTTCCTACATTTTTCAACAAAACTTCACTTTTTTTTGCAGGTAGTGTTTCTTATTGTCTTGCACACTTTTTTCTTTATTTTTACATTCAGAATGCTTTAAAAATTCCATTTACAAGACAATTGTTTATAATAAAATTCTATTCAACCGGTAGACTCATAACGATTGAAAACAATGTTTTTGTTTGAGTTTGGGTTTGACCAATTCGTAAAAAAAAAAAAAACTAATTAAGACATGCGTGTCCGTCAACCTTAAACAATAATCTTTGTCAATTTTATTTTTCAGTCTTTATGATGGTCGATACTTGATCTATCTCTTACTGTTACATCCCCGGCCAACGCCGGGATCTACTGCTAGTTAATAATATTCGTGGAGTTTTCTTTAAAATCGATTATCGACAATTTTCCTCTACGCACGAGCAACATTCTTAATTACTAGATGTCTTCTGACTGACATTTTCTAGCCTGATGGAGACAAGCTCAAATTTCAATGTTTCTCGTCGATTATTTTGTCCTCTTCCTTCTCGAAGGTGCGTTCGCAATAAAAAAAAAAAGTATAAAAATGCTAAAAATATTGATTTTATAACTATCATTGTGACTAGTTTTTTAAAATAACTCGGAAAAACAATGACGTCGCATGAACAGTTTTTTTTTTTTTTTTTGTTGTTTTTACGTCAAGTCATTGTGTGTAGGGAGTGGTGTCTCTTCAGTCAATTGTTGTCATCCGACACACAAAC